CTGTCGCTCGACGCCGACGCTACCACCTTGCCGTCCGGCGAGAAGGCCACGGCCTCGACCGGTCCCCCGTGGCCCTCGAACGTCTGCAGTAGAGCACTCCAATCATTCTCGACCTTGGGTAATCTTTGCATCCATCGAGGTATCCGGTCTTTAAACTGCCTCCTAACTATACTTATAGTAGGTGTAAAAATCAATGCACTACAGTAGACCTGTAGAGGAGCGTACTCTAATACTGGCTGGTTAAATAGTGCAAATCTTTTGGCATCTTGAATAAACTCGGATAGACGGGGACAGTCATGTTCCTGAACTAAATTAAGCTGGAAGACTCGTGTAAAGCGTTTGGTGTACTTACAAGGGCAACGGACTCTAAAGAAGTAATTGCATAGATCCCTTCAGAGATCCTCCGCATCCAGCTCAGCGCCTCAAGCCAATGTAGTAAGTGCATCTGTAGGAACTGATGCACTAAGTCGTTGTCATGAAGCCGAGTATCACTCTTCTGAAGATGCTGAACCCAGCAGAGACATGCATATTGAACCTCCGGAGTAAAGTATTGTTCCACTCGATTGCTCGATATATCAGCTACGAGCACACCTGGAGCTTTCATTCCACAGATGTCTTGCTTAAGAGAGGTGGACATTAACTCTATGCACCTGGCGGCTAATATTCCCTGAGCTTGCTTCTCGTTAACCCAAAAGTTTAAATCGTTGCATCTCTTCTGGTCGAGGAGGAAGTCGCGAAATGAAGGGTGATGCAGACGGAGCGGCCGGATTAGGTCATCCGGGATGTCTAGGATGGAATGCAAATCACCTAATGTTCGAATAACTTGCTCTGGGCTGACTTTAAGCAAACGAGCCAAGGAAAGTATGGAAAGAGGAGAAAGGAGAAGAACAATACTTCCAGCCGTATCTTTCAATAGTTTGTACCATTTCTTTCTTTCTTTCTTTCGAAGATTTCCGACACTGCTTCTAAGAACGGTAAGGTAGATTTTGTTCAGCTGCTCATTCGGTGCAACTGCGGAGTCGTCAATGGAAGAGATATCTGTTTCGGAGTCATCCGTCGAGAGGGGATCTTCTATAAGACTGCCCTGAAGGATTATGGACAGCCTATCTGCCGCCAAGCTTCCGCCTTCATGAATATAACGACATGCGGTTGCGGCCCAGATAAACAGCCCACTTGCACTCTGAACCAGATGTGTAATGGCATCTTCACCCGGCCAGCCAGCACCGAATGAGCGTTCCTGCCCAATAAGGCTCAGTTTACTTTCTAAGAAAACAGTGATGTCGTGGTTTATAGTCGACCGCGAGATGTTATGAAGGACGAAATCTTTGTGTTCTGTATCAGGCATCTGACAGAGCCCGTATCGAATCGGAATTTCAGGTCTGCTCGTTAAAAAGATTCGTATCCGTATCTTCGTCACCGATCGTGTCTTGGCTAAAAGTTGTAGAATTGTCCGGATATTGTTTTCATCAGCGCACTCATCGAGGGCATCAACGACAAGAACGTATGAGGATCGGGAGTCCTTGTCGTCTAGCTTCAATAAAGGACTGACGATAAGATGCTGCCATTGGTCGCGCAGAGACTGGTTAGCAATATCGTTACGCTCCGCAATAGCGCCACAAATGTGTCGACAGAGATTAGGGACGTTCCTTGCAAGCTGCACGGCAATGCTTGTCACGAACTTGACTGCATGGCCAACATCTCCACCGCCTCTTGAGAAGAAGAAGCTGGCCCCAAGACGGCCATTCTCTAAGTATGTACGGGCAACAGTATGAGCAATCGTTGACTTTCCCGTTCCCGCCAGACCGTTCAGCCAGAAGATACTCCGTTCATCTTGGCCACCAGCCCAGTTGAATATTTCCTTCAGAACATCGACGCGGGTATTGGGGAGACAGGTCGATTCGTGTTGCTTTTGAAACGAATTGAATAGAGCTTCGGCAGCGATCGGTAGGCGATCTAGTTCTTTCTCTGACGGCATCTCTGCAATGAGCATTCTATTCCTTGGATTTCGGCTCTCAGATGTGGATTCACGATCTCCATTTGCGGTCAGCGACAAACGTGTTTCACAGCCCTGGAACTGCAAACATTACTCACGCGATTGCCCATCCGATCCTGCTGCTGGCTGGACGGGGTCTTCCAGTAGTCGCTGCAGGTAGGGGACAAGATCCGAATAACTTGGCCCAAACTGTAATCGTACCAGAGGCTGGTGACTGAGAGAATCTCCGGTCCGAACCAAAAGACAATGTCGATTTGGAATATCACTCTGATGTTCGCATGCCCATTTCAACAGTGCGCTGAAGTTTGGGTCTTCCAATCCGGATCCACAGCCAACAAACATCATCGTGTAAGTATTCCAAAGCGTTCTTAGCATACCCTGAATATCATCTGAGTGTCTAACCTCATAATAGTCCGTTGCGTCCAGGATAACATCATTGGGTGTGTGGTAGCTGCCGTGTATATGGAGGATCCCGCGCAAATCTCCACTTTGGAACTTTAAGATCTCTTCATGATTAGACTGGTTGATGCGGCGCAAGTTGCAGTAGCCTTCTTCGAAGAGATCGTCGTAGTTCGTTGTAAGCAGCATAGCTCCTTTCTCATGAAACGATTTTAGAACATCGAGCACGGCTGGGTGCCTAACTTCCTTGGAGAGACCGTCAAACACTGCTTGTAACCAGGTAGGCAGCTGACGGGTCTTGTCGAGCAGAGATTTCAGAATACCTGCCGCGTCGAGCAGATCGTCCAGATCAGGATTGGACTGATCGAGTATCTCACATGCACGCTTCAATCTTCGATTATTTCCCTCAACGTGGCCATCCGTGACAAGATAGTCCAAGCCATGTCGTATCAGGCCTCGCCACGATATTCGAGCGAGCGATTCGCCTAATACCGTTGATGTTGCGCTGATTGTCACTCCAGCCCCAATAACAACCACGAGCTTCTTATTATTCAAGGCAACTCTGATCCGGTCTAGGCGCTCATTCTCGATCCTCGTAGCCTCTGCGAGGGCTGGGGCCTTTACGAAGACTTGTCAGTACAGTTCGAGGCTGAATAGGGCGGACATACTGAAGTCGCCATCTTCACACTTCTCAATTAACTTTAGTAGAGCCAGCACGAAACGCGCAGAAAGGAAACCATAAGCTGGAAAGCAATGCTCGTTGAAAGTCACTTCGCCCAGTCTAAAGAGGTAGTCGCAGGAGGTGAAGTAGGTAAGATTGTAGAGTTTTAAAGGTCGGAGAAATGATTTGTAGGTAGCATGGACACGATCGCATCCCAGCCTTGCGTCTTGCGGTGCCGCAGTTGCTCGCCCATCAGGTAAATTCGCAGGCAGACACTCAGCTGTAGTCAAAGACCCTACCAAGAGAGCATGTAACTCATTGGCGCTTTGGTTCTACTGTCTACAAACCCGATTGACCTGATAGATCGGGTACTGTACCCAGTCACCTCAACCATTTGAGCGGTCTTTAGAGACTTACTGATGACCATACTCCGTATAGCGGAAAAGGTTATGCTGAGACGTTTCAAGGTTTGGCGCCATGTTAGCCGTTTAACAGTATGAAGTATCTCCCAAGACGGTGTTCAACTGGCCCCTACACTGAATCTAAATTTGGACTTTTGGAGAGTGAGAATGAGAATGTGTGACAGTGTGAGGGGTATGCAGCGACGGCTCAAGGGGATGATTAGACCTACCCAGTTGGGGAGCGCTAAACCAAACCGGGGGACTAACCATAACCCCACTTACTGGAATAATTATAGCCCTTGGTGAACTGGTTGGCCTCGGCGAATTAGCAAGGAACTTCATCACTCAGTTACTTACTAGCCCGCTTATATGTTTATTCCCTTCACACCTATTTGAATAGAATCACGAGAGTAACTGCTCTCTGTGTTATCCAGTGGCAACACCCTAGGACTGCTCCGGCAGAAGTCACTAATTTTGAGCACAATCCGAGTCTTATACGGTCATTTTGTTACCAGCTACGGCTGTGGAACATATCCGTTGCTCCCCTCCGCTCTTTCAGCGATGGATTGCGGCTTCAATTATGATTGCATGGTCACTATGATATGCAACAAGAAACATTTCGAAGTCCTCTTGTCGCCAAAAGTACCCCCAGGTTACGATGATGAGCAGAGCATCGAGGTCGAATTACTCCGAAGGAATGACCGCGCGATGCGGGCCGGCAACAACAACTCAAGGGGATAAAATATTGGAAGAAATTATGGATATCCTTGCAATTAACTGTCAGCCCTTTTTTTCGCGAATTTGCTCTGTCGTTGACGAGAGCAACCGGGAAGGTCTACGCGACTTACTCAACCCCGAAACCTTCACGTTGTAGTTGGTCACGGTCAAAGGGTGTTTGGAAGTCGTCAAACAACATACCGTGCCTCATGAGCGGATCCGCCTACCCCCAATTGCAACCCCCAGCGGTTTGCCTGTATATAACTGGGCAGAGGTGGAATTGCCGGAAGAGGTACTAGGAGATAGGATAGTGAAGGTCTCTGTCAATGGCCTCACCAATTGGGACAAGACGGTCACCAACTGCACGAACGGAGAAGTTGCTAGAGAAGTCACTTCCTTCCAAATGGCGGCGGAGGCCAATCCTTCTCTTGGCGTCCCTAAGCCGGTAGGGCTTGTCAAGTCAGATGATGACGAAATCGTTGCCGGTCTGTTCAACTACATCGACCACGATCCTAAAAGCCCAACACTGAGCAAGATCGAGATAGTCGCCGTGGAGAAATCTCGACGAGAAAAAATAGGCCACTCAAATCCGGGACGTCACCACTCAACCCCACGAGATCGACTTCATCTGGGCGACGGGAAAGCAGGGACTATTATATTGACAAGGACGACGATGATGCCTGAGTTATCGACTTCGGAGGGGGATGGACCGATGGATGGCCGACGCAGGAGCTTGCTGGGACCGTCGAAGGTGACTTCGTAGCACTGGAGAAGATTATTGAATTCCTCAAAGTGTAGCGGACTAGACGCCGTGTGGAAGTTGTGAAAGAGTTTCTGTGCGGTCACACGGAAGGGCGCAAAGCGTCTCCACTGCAACAAGAACGCATATCGAAATTGGGTGCTAAGCGGTTAGATACTTGTGAAGGAATAAGGGAGCGAGAATTTGCAGTGGAAGAGACCAAGCCGATACCAGAAACAGTGCATCCAATGATCCGCGTACGGATAGACAAACAAAAATGACATTGAACTAGAAGAGATCTCTTAAAATATTCGACAAATCCTCCTCTTCCTGCCCGAACATGAATCCAGGCCGGTCCAAAGTAGTCCCCTGCGGCTGGCCCATCTCCCCCGGCGGTTGCACCATGCTCGAGAACTCTCCGTTCTGCGCCAGCCCGGAATACCCGCCCGCTGCCTCGAACAAATCCGTCAGATCGTTCGCCATGCCATTCGGACTGTTTTCCATGCCGTTCGCCCCGACCGCGTTGCCCATCCCGGAATTGCTGCTAGCTTGTGAGGCCATCCCTAGATTGGTCGAAAGCATGGACGCGTGGTTCATCGGGTGGCCTGCGAGGCCGGCCATAGCGACAGCAGCGTCTGAATGAGGATCGCTTGCTTGGTTTCCGGCGCCGGAGCGTGAGCTGAGGTTAAGACCGAGCTTTGGGGAAGCCTCTTTCACGTTGCGAAGGGTCTTCCACAGACGCTTGGAAGCACCGGAATTAGCGGAGAATCCCCTGATGAGGTCGACCGCCATGTTGAATTCGTCACGGACTTGGCTTGTATATTGCTGCGGGGCGTGACACACGGCGAGGATGAGGACGGCGACGGCGGAGATGAGGAAGTAGTTGAACAACACTTTTCCGTTGCTATAAAGCTCGGTCTTCTGGCTCATCTCGGTGAGGATGCGGAGGGATTCTTTGGCAATATCGACAACGGTGTCGGCGTGGCGGATATTGTCCTTGATGCTTGCTGTGTTGTGCAGGATCGGTCGATAGATGAGAATACGCATCTGGTTCCGGCGAAGGAGAAGGATGATTCTGAGCCTGCGACTAACGCGACTGTAGCGGTCGCTTTGCGGTATTGCAGCGGGTGGCAGATATTTCAAAGATTCCGGGAGGGAGCGATGCCATTCCAGAATTTCGTAGTCAAGATATCCCATCTCGCGTTCATTGAAAGTCGCTTTCGCTCCATCCCAATTCGTGATCGAGCGCCAGATCTTCGAACCAATCCTGCTATAATCGATCATGGCCAATAAGTACGGAGGCCCATCCTTTCGGCATATCAGTAAGATTATTGGATGATTCTGGCCTCTATTAGTGTGCACTTACCGGTTGTAAAACCCGGGGATCAACATCGAAATCCTGCATCGCAAATGGTAATCCGCAACCGAAGCTCCATCGCTTATCCAGCACGTACATTGACCAGAAAACCCGGGTTGCAACAGCTCTCTCAGGATAGGTAGTCATCTGCTTGTGGTACGTTTCGGTTCGATGTAGGCCAAGTTCGAAGCACAGTCTCACCGCAACCCCGACGATACGCCATGCCAGGCACTCATCGTCCCGGTGGAAGTGATACATGGCCTGCAATCCATATGTTAGTGCTGAGTTGTGTTTAACCAAAGCGGCCAGCTTACTGCAACAGCTAACATCCTCACATTGTGGAGGCTCGCGCTGGACGTCAATTGCTCCTCGATATAGCAAGCAATGCTGTCATACAACTTCTTGCCAATGTCACTCTTTCCAGAACTGTCCAGCATGAGTGTGGTGGCTAGCACCACTTTCAACAATATCGTCTCGGGATCAACGAGAGCGTCGGGCCCAGTCCACCCCGTCGTGCTGAACCCCGTCTTCACCGCCGCCTCCAGGAATTGATAGACGTTGTTCGCATGCTGCAGCGTTTGCGTCACATCGAGGACGGGGTACATGACCCCAATCTCCTCCTGCCATACCCTCACCAACCGCACCGCTTCCTCCCGCGTGAGAAGCCACAACGGGTCCTTGCCCATCGGCATCGCGGACTTCGCATGCCGCGGGTGTGGACTAGCCCTCGGAGTCTCGTCCTGTGTGATCCCCGCCTCCTCGAGCGCCTCATCCGACGCGCCGATACCCATGCCCTGGAGGCTCGAATTGGCCACTCCGAGATTGTAGGCGGAGGAAGTGGGGCCGCGGAAGCGCTGCTTGTGGGAGGGAGGGGGGTTCGGCGAGGGCGAAGGGAGGCTGGGAAGAGGGAGCGCACGCTGGTCGACGGGCTGGGAGAAAACGGGGTTGGTGGCGAGGGTATTGAAGCTCGTTTCGACGCTGTCGCGGAGAGATGTGAGGTTGGTGAAAAGGGTGTTGACTTGTTGTTGGAGGGTATCGATGTTCGTTTGCATTCGTTTGAAGTCCCTTGGAGGCGTGAGTAGATGCGGTCGAGCGGTATACGGTACATTGCTGCTTACTCGGTGTCTTTGAAGTTAGTGCAACAATTCGGCGCATACACGCAATCGAGACTCAGGTTTCCGCATCTCTATTTCCCGGAACATGGTCAGTTTGGTCCCGGATTCGCAGGATCTGGTTGTTGATACCTGGCATGGAGTCTTGCCATCGCATTTGATCTTTCTTCGCTTGCACTCATTGCTATCCTCATTAGCTCTACTTCTGGCCCGTCGAGCACATAGTCATACCATGCGATGGAAATATATCGGTTCCTCTTCGCCCGCTGCTGTTGTCCGCTACTGTCGGCCTTTCTCTTGCTCCCGGAGTGCCTGTCCTCGGAGCCCGGGCTGAACGGCTCAGGATCCTCCATGGCTCAGCGGTTGGATTCGCCTAGCAGAAATAAGAAATGACACGATTGCGCTGACCAATAATCCTTCAACTGCCTTGTGTTTGGGATAATTATGGATGGGTGGAGGGAGATAGAATGACTGGGTCTACGAGGGTCGTCCCTTGCGACTGGGTTCTGATATCCCAACCTTGCCCAAGCAGCATCAGGCTAACCGGTTACGGCAATAGATATTGACTGAAATGCTTCTGTGAGAGTTTAACTGCACGATATGATCGTTGGAATTCGTAAATTATGTCGCAATAGAAGATTATATAGATCTCTGGTCAAGGCAGCGTATCCAGGATTTACCTGCAAAAATCAAAAGATCACCTCTTCCTCGCTGAGAAGCATCCAGGAACCACAGCCCCGGCACAGTCCTGGCATGGTATCATAGCTAAATGCTCACGCTCCGCTGACGACACTCTTTGCATTGGACAGCGCCTGAATTCCGTAGTCAAGGGCAAAGCCGAATCCAACCCTCAGAAACCCCTTCAAATCCGCCAACTTCAATCCGACCTGCCTTGCCCGGTATGTCCCCACGCAGGCAAGCGTGAGAAGCAGAAGCTTGGTCGCCCTAGACAACCGAAGCTTCCATAGCCCCTTCGAGGTGTAGTTGAAGTGGAAGTCGCCATATCGCGGGAACATGCACCTGAACAGGAACCATACCTGGGAGTATCTGCAGGAGAAAATGTCAGCGCACAGCTCAGAAGGTATGTGCATAGTCGGGATACTCACGGAAGCACAGTTGAGTTCCATCCGTCCTTATGATACCAACTACTGCAACCGCCCTTCATCCAAATCGTATCCTTCAGCTTGTCCTGGATATCAGCCGTGTACGCGATCTCCGCCTCTTTCTTCACCTCCACCGTCTGCACGTCGCCCTTCAACACGGGCTCCATGAACTTTAACGAGAAGTTCACCATGTTCTCTGAAGCCAAAATGACGGAACTGTGCCCGGTCGCGGTATTGGGTCCGAAGAGGAAGAACATGTTGGGGAATCCGTCCATGGCAGCTCCAAGGTACGCTTGCGGTCCGCCACGCTCGTCCCAGACGTCATACAGCGTCTTGCCGTCTCGACCGATGATCTCAAGCGGATGGAACCAGTTGTACGCCTCGAAGCCGTTGGCGAGTACGATGATATCCGCATCGATTTTCCGTTCAGGTCCTAACGCCTTCAACTCCTCCTCCGATTTGCCAGGGCCAGCATACAAGGATCCAGGTCCAATGACCACGCCATCCTCCTGAACCCTCGTCAACGGCTGGGTTGTTAGCTCTATTTTCGAATCGTTCAATCCTGGGAACCACGTTGCGTCGAAAACCCGTCGCTTACAGCCAACGCCGTAATCCGGGGTTAACATGTCATGGTATTTTGCGGGGACAGTCTTCTTCATGTGCCTGAGGAGTTCCTTCTCAGAAGCTTTTCGGGACCACGTCGCGATCTTACCACTTCCAAACATGATAAAGGCGGATTCCGCGATGCCAGCGACCACCCATCGGACGAGCTTACCGAATCCAGGGACGCGAGTAATGAGCGTTCGACTGTTTGCCTCCCACCACTCGTTACCACCCGGAGGCACGATGCGGGGACACACCCATGGCGGCGACCGCATGAGTTGGGTCACGGATTTGGCGTTGTACGGAGCTTTTGTCAGCGACGGAACGAACTGCGCGGCGCTACAACCGGTTCCCACCACCAGAACGTTCTTGTCCGTCATGTCCACCGAGTAATCCCATCGGGCGGAGTGGAAAACCGGTCCTTGGAAAGTCTCGAAACCTGGGATACCCCTTGGCACACCGGCTGGCTCGACAAGACCTCCAACACCACTTATCAGCATCTTGGCTCTGATTGTCTCAGTTGACGAGACGACAGCACCCGCTCCTTGTTCGTCCTGTACCCGTTGGCGGTCTTTTGCTGAAAGATCTCCCATCCCATGGACGAGATGACGGAGCTCCACCTCCCATAGCTGTTCGTCTTCCAGCCATCGACACGAAGACACGTCTGTATTCAGCTCGATCTTGTCGGTGATCTGGTATTTCTCGCACACGTCGTGGAGGTAGTGGACGATCTCCGGGCCGTCAGGGAAGAACTTCGTCCAGTTGGGATTCGGGGCGAAACTGAAGGAATAAAAGACCGCCGGGACGTCGCAGGCAACCCCGGGATATCTGATCGTGGAGCCTTGGTCAGCAGAAGTACGGTTTCGTGGGACCGAGCATTGTACCTGTTGATCCACCAGGTGCCTCCAATACCGGCCTGCCTATCGAAGAGTCGGAACTGGTCGAAACCCAATTCTGTCTTCAACCTGACGGCCATGGCGATTCCCGATTCTCCAGCACCGACGACGACCACGGGGTAGTATGTATATGCACCCTCCCCATACCCCTTTACTCGACGAATGGCTTCCGGCATTGTGGACGTTTGCTGCCTCAACGCTTTGGACAGTTGGTTCCAGCTCTACTCGTGATAGACGGGCTATGTACACACTTGTCTTCACAGAAGGGTCGACCACTTCTGGACGATATTAACGCTGTTTGCTTTGAATGGTGAGGATATGCGGAGAGCGGTCAAAGTCGTGACTTTGTCAACCACTGACCGAGCTGAGTTGATCAAGCGAATACCGAAAGAGGAGGGGATTGGCAAGTGTATAAGGGTAAAGTTTCGTGGCCTGAGAAGTCTCAGATGCGGAGGTTACACGCGGAGCGTCGCGGACGAGCATCGACGGTCGAGTCAACTTAGGCCTCGTAGTGGTTGATTACAGATTGGGAGAAGTCGTAATTACGATTTAGGAACCGTCCTGGGAGTCCGGATAGAGTTAGCATCGGCCAGAGGGAGCACGAGGATAGGTAATTAATAGTTCAGGGCCAAAAGAGAGCTGCGTAGCGCATAATCGGCCCATTCCGATTTCCCCATTTCTGACCATGGCACGTGAAAACATGACATCGAAGCGGAAGCTTCATCTTGCATGAAGTTTCCTTACCGAAAGCTCGGTTGTCCGAATGAGAAGCTCTGAGAGTCTGGGGCAGGACAGGTGCGTACAAACCACAAGACGTCAACAAAATTCCTATGCCGACGCAACACTTCAGGATTTGAAATATCCCCTGTGGTGAAACGCTGAGGGATTTGAGCGTATCTGATCCGATCTGGGGTCGTGATCCGGTGCCAGCTATGTTAGGCCGCTAGGGAGCCGTAGCCCGTAACAGCTCGTATCTCCAGAGTATGAATAGTACGGATGAATATTCACTCCGCGTCAGATGGATATTCCCCGCAATCTGCGTGGATCTCCCTGCAGCTGGCGGAAACTATACGTAGCCTGTCCGTCCGAACGGCACCAATCGGCAATCGGCCAATCCGGTCTGGGTTGGTCCAATCATACAAAAGACGGCCCAAACTTTATGTCGCACGTGATGTGCTAAAATGGTTGGGAGTGAGGTGCTGTTGTTCCGGCAGCGAAGTTGTTGTATTGTGTGTGTGATCTAGGTATCTGAAAGTTGCGTTCAAGTTGCGTGTTCTTATGTCAATGCCTGGTCCCCTGGCCCTCCAGATATATGAGATTCGTGGCAAGTTTATTAATGCAGTTTGTATCCTCGAGCTCCCTTAGATGAAACCTTGGTCTGCGACACTTTAGGATGGTTTATTACCGTTTAACTAAGTTAGTTAGTTAACTAACTTAGTTAGTTAGTTAAGTTAACTTAAGTTAGTTAACTTAACTTAGTTAGTTAGTTACATAGAAGTCAGTTAGTTGGGCCCATAATTACCTAACAAGTCACAGCAGATATTCAGATTTCAGATAACTACCAGTTATTCAGATTTTAAATATGTTAGTAAGTTAGTTAGCGGCACGTTGGGTGCATTGGGGCAGATCCGATCAAGCCATATTATGTGACTTTAAGCAACGTGGCGGAGAGACATTCAGGGACTGGGGACCTAGATGCCCTGACGACCAGAACGACTTCATGATTTTGGTTGTTTCTGTACTCTACCTGATGCTAAAGTACTAAGGCTAACTAAGCCAAAAGTCTGCGCACAGGACCCATTCTCACCTGAATATCTCTACACCCACCCCTTACTTTGACAATCAATAACTTTACCAAAATGAGGTCTTTTGGCACAAAAATAAGTGGTAATCGAGG